TGTACTTCAACTTTGAATTTATCAGATTAAATGACTTAACTATAAATTCAAGAAACCAAACTACTTACAGTAAATAAAAATTCTACTAACTTCATGTATAAATTCTACTAACTCTACAAATTAAACTGATGTAAAGATCAATTCATGGTATCACTTTCAATCAGTTTCAATGAGAAGGCTGAATTTGAAAAATGGTGGTAAATATACATATGTATGTATGTATGCGCTATACCGATACATACTACGTACGAGATCCGCGATTTTACTATTTTGTCATCGTGTTACAGAGCTCCGTATACTATTTTAAAATAATATTATGACAAATGTGTTACAATGTCTAGATATTTATAGTTTCATATCTGTTTCATTATTCTAAAAAGATATAGTCCAAAAGTCGTCTTTGATCTAACTTTTAAATGGAATTCTAGCTTTTAAATGGAATAATATTAAGATCAACATGAAGTTTTAAAAAACTACCGCCATCATTTATCGTTATCGTTATTCTCTTAACTGAATAATGATCTACATGCATGCATATATGCATATATGCATGCATTGATACGTATTTGTATTGTATTGTGTTGTACTGCATTGTGACGATAATGGCGATATGATATCGTTATCAAATAAAACAAATAAATAACACTTATAATCGCATTTATCGTCACATTTTTTGCTACAAACATTTCAAATAGTTTTTTTGATGTTATATGCGAAAAATACTTTATATTAAATAATTATGATTAAGAATTTCATACAAAATTTTAATATACCATCAACCACCAGTCTCGCGAGCTTTACAACAGTAAATACAAACGATCAGAGCACCATCAATAATGATAATTTAGATGGAATTAGTGTTCTCTCAGAAAATTTACCTATCAAAGATGTCAAAGAAAAGATTGTACTAAACGTTGGTGGAATAAAAGTATATATATTTTTAAAATGCTTTCAAGAAAAATTTTTCGTTAAAAAAAATATATTTCTAAAATTCTTTTTTTTTTCACTATGCTTTTTATTTCTAAATTTATAAAATTTAAAAAATAGTATGAAACTTATAGGTCAACCTTAACTACTTATCCTACAACATTACTTGGTTCTTATTTTCTTTACAATGATAATGATAACCCTTTTTGGGATCCGGACCTTGACGAATTTTTTATTGACAGAGATGGTCATTTATTTCATTATATCATGCAATTTTATCGAACTGGTAAAGTTCCTACTATTGATCAAGGTTCGAATTATTATTTATTAAATTTAAATATTAATAATATTTTTATATTGAATTTTTTAAAAATTTGCTTTCTCTAACTTGTATATCTGATATATATTTTTTTTTTACTTTTAAAAAAAATTAGCAATAGGATTAATTCCAATAACATCATCTGAATTAGAAGATGAATTAGAATATTTTAAAATTCCTATATATCCACCTTCTTCATACTCTTCAACTACTTTATCACCCAATCAACTATCATTACGACATAAAATGATAGCTGCTGAAATTGATTCTTTTGTTCAAACTTTAAAAAATACACTTTTAACAATTTCTTCTCAATTTAAAAAAGAAATTTTCTTTAAACGTAATTTTCAAATTTATTTTGAAATAAATTTTCATCATAATGATAGAATAACTGATTTTGTTATATCACCAACTATTTCTACAACTTTAAAACAACAATTACAAAAAGAATTTGATGCTTTCTCTGTATTGGGTTATGCTATTTTGGAAAGATTTGGTGATGATATTGGAAGATATATGATAACTAATGTTCAAGGTTGTACTTGGGAATGTAATAAAACTAAGGATGTTGGTTGGGGTAGTGTTTATGAGATGTATAAAGTTAAAGTTGGTGTTGAAAATAGTTTTGAACATGAAGATGTAGTTGGTCATTGTTGTTTGGCTAATATTGGTAATGAAAATGATATTGGAAGTCCATAGAATTTCATATCTTTAAACTTTATTTTGATACTGTAGATACATTATTATATGTTTATTCCCCCTCCCCCGTATACGTTTTAGAATATGCCCGTTATATTATTAGTATTTTTTTTAAAAAAAGTAACAAGGGTAAATTAGAATTTATTAACTTGTATATATATAGTACAATAACATTTTCCCAATTATCGAATTATTTATTTTATATTATATAAAAATTTTCTTATAATGTATTTTTATTATTATATATTTTAAAAATATCCATAAATTCCTACGTATTCTTCCTTGTAAATTATGATTATTCACTTTATCTCTGAACGTTTTAAGTTTAAAAAAAAAAAAAAAGAAGAAAAATTATTATAATAAAATAAATAAATTAAGAAAGATAACGCTCATTTTGTAATGTAACATTCTGTGGCCTGCCTGCATAAAGTGCATATATACTTCTATTAGCCATCACTTTGCATGATAAAAACATTATCCATCTGGATCTAGCGAGTTTTAAAAATGCTTCGACTTTTAAAGTAAAATTAATTATAATTCTAGATCGCTTAGATTATGATACTCTCCCTAGTAAAAATTTATATAATTTTTTTTTGTATTATAAATAGTAAATATATATATATATATATCAGATATGTTTTTATTTTTTTTTTGCGTAATAGAGGTCCGAACCGGTTAAACCGAATTGGACTAATCAAGAAACCGATTTAAGCTAAACCGAATTGGGCTTAACCGGATTTAATCGGGTTGATCAGCGATAATTTTGATTGGTCAAAATTAATTCCGGCTTATCTATCAAATATCGGGTTACGTAATATTAAAACCGGTTTAATTCGAATTTGAAGTTGAATTGTACGAACCGGTTCCGACCTCTCCTCTACATCACGGAAATGAGTTATATATTTGGTTCTGAAACGAGGGTAGATTAGTTAGACTAATCATTGTGCGCATCTCAGGTTGATCAATATTATGATAAAATACGTATGTTTAACTCAAAAGCATACCGTATTTTCGTGTAATAACGCGCATGAGTGTTATTTTGAAATTTGACTTTTCTACGCTCATGCACGTTCCGAAATAACGCGCTCCCTACTCTTCAAATTAGAGGTTATACCCGATATAAAATTTCAACTCCAGGTTCAATCCTTAAAATAAATTAAAATCTCTTCCTATATAATTTTTATTTACAAAACTTTACCAAATGATTCAAATTGATTTATACAAATTTTGTTGTAATAAAAATTTGTATAATTTAGTTAACAATTAGATAGTAATTAGTTTAAAATTAGGTATTTGATTTGTAGCTTATTTGCTATCTTTTTACTAGTTTCTATTATAAGAAGTGTTAGTAGAAAAAATAAATTTTATTTTATAATTTGAATAAATTAGAATAGAGGCTATAACTAATCTTTGCTTAAGTTTATCAAATACTTCTTGTTATTAGTTATTCTATTCATATTTGATATCAATATATAATAATTAATTTAAAGATTAAGTTATAGCAAAGAATCTTTTTATAAATCTTTTATAGTATTCAGTAAGTAAGTTTTAAGAATAAACAGAATTAAGTTATATTTTTAGAAGGTATCTCTTAAACTGTATTCTAGACAAATTTGCCTAGAAAATTAAAGAGTAAATACTATTTTTTAAATAATTTAATAAAATATTAATTATATGAGGTCTATATTATATATAGAATATATTATTAAAAACATACTTTATAAACTTTATTAAAGAATTTTCTTATTTTTACTAAGTAGTTTTTAAATAATAAATTTTTAAAGTTTATATTAAAAAATTTTTAAAATTTTATATGTTTCTAAAGCTAAAAAAAAATTTTAACTCTAAGACAAGTTCAAATTTTTATAATTAAATCATAAAAATTATAATAATAAAAGTTGTTTTTTTTTTGATAAATTCTATATAATTCTAATTTTAAAAAAACAGATAGCTAATAGTTAATAAGTTTACTAAGAATTAGTAATAAAATTTTTTGAATAAAAAATTTCTCTAAAGTTACTTAACTTTAGTATATAGACAACTTATATTTTTTTTTACAAAATAAAAATAAATTCTACAATTATATAATCTTTATTTTTAAATATTATCAAAAATTTTATTTAAATATATTAATTTTATAAAAATATAGATTATAGGTATTGTTATATAAATTTTTTAAGCAAATTTACCTAGAATAGTCTACAGATTAAGAAATAATATTTTTTATAGCTATAATCTTTTCTAGATTTGAAAAAAATTTTTTAGCTTCTATAATATAAGCTCTCAAAAGTAAAAACTAGAAAATTTAGCTGATCACAAGTTTTGAGATATTTAGTAAAAATAGTTTTATTATACAAAATTAAACTAATTTAAAAATAGTTTATTCAAGATTAATCTAGTTAAACAAATCTGTTTAAACAGAATTATTGAATCTATAGATTGCTTCTAGAATAAAATATATATAATATTTGTATAAAAATCTATTTTTAGATTATAGTATTAAAACTTTTGTTATATCTCAAAAATTTATTAATTAATTAGACTTTAATATTAAATAAAAAATATTTAATATAGTAAAATCTGGTGATCTTAGTGTAGTAGTTAGGTTGCCAGACTGCTATGCAAAAGGTCTGAGTTCAAATCCCACTGTCAACGAATTTAAATAATTATCTAGACCTTTGTATCTAATTTACAGTAAACCTATTTATTTCTGGAGTTGTAACTCTATAAATCATATTGTATCAATATTATCTGAATATTGGAAGTATGACATAATATTTAGAGAGTATAATTTTATACAAATAAATCTTAATAAGATCTACAAGCAAGGGATCTGCATAGTAAAAATCCTAAGTAAGTGAAGTAGTATAACTTTCAATAGTTACACTAGTTAATGCTTGATTCAAAAAAGAAACTATTATCAAAAGATACAGATCAAGTCAGGTGCATATAAATCTGTTCTACAGAGAGGATTAGTAACACCAATTTGGCTTGGCAGCTAACTGAATTAGAAGGATTTGTCTCATAAAATATCCAAAAAAATAGATACAGAAAACTGGTAGAGAGCTATAGTAGAAACTAGAGTTGTATAAACATTTACAAGAATCTAAGTTAGGTGAATCTATAAAATAGATATAGACCACTCTAGTAGGTTTACTTCTGAGGTTAACTAGAGCTCTGCAGCTCACAATACATTAGATATATGTATTTTGCGAGGACCTAAGCTATACAGTAAATGGATTCATGGATGAGCTAGCTAGCTTAAACAATTAGCTATAGTAGTGACATTAGTTTGAGATAGAAGAAAGAGTTAATAATTAGAATGTTTAAATAGGTAACTCACAGATGAGTTGCAGATATAGCAGCATAGTGTAGAACCAATAAATAGTCAATCATCTGTATAGTGGACTACTTAAATTAGATAATAACTAAAGTTGTATATGTGGCTTGTTGTATACTCATCATGTAACTATAAAACTTAGGAAACTATTCATGTGATAGTTCTATAATAACAAACTAATAAAATCTAATTAGCTAAGAAAGTAGCCTTAATAACATAAAAAAAAAAAAAATTTGATATAGTTTAATATAGTAATTGAACTTGTCTAAAAAATTATTATTTGGGTAACCTGTAAGTTTATCTGTCAAGTGATCTGAGTAATTGATATATATACCTAGATAAAATTTTTATACATTGTATCTGAATAGTTTTATAGTCAGATATTTATTTGATTAGCTAATATATATCAATTACTCAGAAATTAATTTTTAAAAAAAATATAATTACAGTATTTGAACTAAGATTTGCATCTAAAAAATGTATACTATATTGCTATACAACAATAGCTTGAGAGATCAATTAAAAAAAATATAATAACTAGCTTCTAATATTTAGAATAAATTTAAACTGTTATTTTTAACTTATTTTTTGTTTATTTTATTTTAACTAGAGATCCTAATAAAATTTTGTATAGAACAATTATATAAGCTTCAAGATTTAAATTTTAATTTAGTTTTATCCTTATTTATTAATAAATATCATTAAAAATTTTGTTATCTTAGTACTATATAAAACAATTTATATATTGACACAAATTTATATATATATTTTATCTCTAATTTTAATGTTTTTTAGATTTTTTTTAAATTTAATTCTTGTTTGAAAAAAATTTATTGAAACTGAAAAAATTACAAACTTTATCATAATAAATCAAATCTATAAATAAAAAATTTTATTGAAGACTATTTCTATGTACTGTATATACAAAGCAAAATTTTAAATCTTTTATGATCAAATCTATTTCTTAGTTTATAGACTAATACAGACAAATTTGTCTATGTTTTTGTATTCATTCAGCTTTGATTTACTTTTTTAAAATACAAAAATATTAAAAAAATAATTATAGATAATAAAATTTGAAAATAAAAATTATCTTTTTGCAGTATTTGTTTTTACATTATAAGAAAAAAATTTAGAGTTATATATGAGCTAAAAATAGCTAATT